TGACTCTCTCAAAACCATGTTGACTCTTCCCCAACAAATCATGTTCATCTACGTGTCTGACAATTCTGTTCTTTACTATCATTTGAACCCGTTTGCCCGATACTGAAGTCAGGCTTACCGGCCTGTAATTGCCGGGCTCACCTCTGGAGCCCTTTTCAAAAATTGGTGTCACATTAGCTATCCTCCAGTCATCTGGTACAGAAGGTGATTTAAATGATAGGTTACAGACCATAGTTAGTAGTCCTGCAATTTCACATTTGAGTTCCTTCAGAACTCTTGAGTGAATACCATCAGATCCTGGTCACTTCTTACTGTTTAGTTTATCAATTTGTTCCAAAACCTCCTCTAATGACACCTCAATCTGGGACCATTCCTCAGATCAGTCACCTAATAAGAATGGCTCAGGTTTGGGAATCTCCCTTACATCCTCAGCTGTGAAGACCAATGCAAATTCACTTAGTTTCTCCACAATGTCCTTATCCTCCTTGAGTGCTCCTTTAGCACCTCAATCATCCAGTGGCCCCACTGGTTAACAGGCTTCCTGGTTCTGACGTACTTAAGAAACATTTTTGCTATTACTTTTTGAATCTTTGGCTAACTGTTCTTCACATTCTTTTTTGGCCTTTCTAATTATATTTTTACATTTCACTTGCCAGAATTTATGCTCCTTTCTATTTTCCCCACTAGGATTTAACTTCCACTTTTTAAAGGATGCCTTTTTGCCTCTCACTGCTTCTTTTATTTTGTTGTTTAGCCATGGTGGCACTTTTTTGGTTCTCACTGTTTTTTAATTTGAGGTATACGTATAAGTTGAGCCTCTCTTCTGGTGTCTTTAAAAAGTTTCCATGCACCTTGCAGGGATTTCACTTCTGGCGCTGTACCTTTTCATTTCTGCTTAACTTCCTCATCTTTGTGTAGTTCCCCTTTCTGAAATTAAATGCTACCATGGTGGGCTGCTATGGTGTTTTCCCGACCACAGGGATGTTAAATTTAATTATATTATGCTCAAAATTACCAAGCGGCCCAGGTATTTTCACCTCTTGGACCAGATGTTGTGCTCCACTAAGGACTAATTAAGAATTGCCTCTCCTCTTGTGGGTTCCAGGACTAGTCATTTAAGGTGTAAAGAAACTATCTCTGCAATCCGTCCTGAGGTGACATGTACCCAGTCAATATGGGGATAGTTGAAATCCCCCATTATTATTACTGAGTGTAACCCCTTTGGGGTTTAGAGAGCATGGCCCCTTTAAATCTTTTTCCAAAGGGGGAGGGGGAGAGTAAGAAAAAAGGAGTGAAACTCCAGGGGGCAGCGCTGGAGCTCAAGAGAGAGGGAGAGGCAGCCTGAGGCCCTGGAAAAGTGAAGCAGCAGAGAACCTGCCTGAAGCCTGAAGCCTGGGAAGGACAGGGCTGATCAGGACAGGAGCCAGGAGGAGCACGGTGCCAGGGAGGAATCACCGGAGAAGGACAGGCCGGAGCTGGACCCAGTATCACGGCTGCCCAGAGCTGCATGGGGCTGTGAGTACTGGGGCTTGGGACTCTGCATTGGGAACAAGGAGGGAGGCTGTAGCTAGTTAAGTGGGGAGGTGGTCGCTCTGTGTGGCTTTGCAGAGAGCGGCAGAAGAGGGCACCAGAGGGGTTTGTTGGGGGAAAGTTCACTGGCGCCGAAGACAACCAGGAGCACCCAAGACTCACCCCTGGACTGGAACTTTGCTCAGGACTCCTGAACTCTATGTGCAGACACATTGCTCGGTGTCTGCCCTTCCAGACTGTGCTACCACTGGGCCTGTGGGGCTTTGGCTTGGATGCAACCCTGTTCTACTGCTCCCCCCTATATTTCCCCTTGTTGTTTTTCTCCTCTCATCCCTCTGTAAATAAATATCTCCCTTTCTTATATCCATTGTACTTTTCCTGTGGGTGTGTGTGTTCACTCTGGGGGGGTTGGAACAGGTGCCCCTGGGCTGGAGGGGATTTTTCCTGCTGCATTCCTGCGCGCGCCTTCTCTTGGCCAGAGCTGCCTGCAGAGCAGACTCCATCTTGGCCACCAGGGCGCTAAAGTTACACGAGTTTTTTATTTTAATAGTTTCTCTACTTTCCCTGAGCATTTCACAGTCACTATCACCATCCTGGTCAGGTGGTCAGTAGTATATCCCTACTGCTATATTCTTATTATTCAAGCATGGAATTACTATCCATAGAGATTCTATGGTAAAGTTTTGTTCATTTAAGATTTGTACTTCATTTGATTCAATGCTTTCTTTCACATATAGTGCCACTCCCCCACCAGCACGACCTGTTCTGTCCGTCTGATATATTTTGTACCCTGGTATTACTGTGTCCCCTTGATTATCCTCATTCCACCAAGTTTCTGTGATGCCTTTTATATCAATACCCTCATTTAATACAAGGCACCCAAGTTCATCCATCTTATTATTTAGAATTCTAGCACTGGTATATAAGCACTTTAAAAACTTGTCACTTTTTAGCTGTCTGCCATTACGTGATGTAATCGAATGGGACTTTCTTTCATTTGACTCTTCCTCATCAGATCCTAGCTGTATTTTATCATCGTCCATCCTCTCCTCCGTACTGGGACATAGAGAGTCTCCATCAATAAATCCTCCCTCTGTCCGAACCACGTGCTCCTCACTACCTGTCGGCTTCCCCCCAGCTCTTAGTTTAAAATCTGCTCTACGACCTTTTTAACCCTGCCCCCACATTCCCCCAGCACCTCTCTGAGCACGCACCCCCATCAGCCCTAGGACCTCCCATTCCCCTACCATCCCCCTCATTGCCCCAGGCTCCACGACTCCAAGTCACCACCCAGAACACCCCTCCTCCACATCCCCAGCCCATGGACCCCCCCATTCCCACCCCTCCAGCCGGGGCAGCAGGGTGCAGGATCCCCCCTCACCCGGCTCTGCTCCGGGCAACCCGACCTCCAGCACCGCGCTGGGTTTGTGCGACTCCGCGTAATACACCAGCAGCTCCACGTCTCGGTCCCACGGGGGGGCCTCAGCCAGAGACACCTGGTGGGGCGACAGACTCCATCACTTCCCCATGGCTCCTTGGGGGCAGGGGCCCCCCGGGTCC